GCTTCTTATCGTTATCTTCTTTTTTACTATCATCTTTCCCTCGTCATTATTTTTTTTTTGTTTTTTTTTTTTTTTATCTTTGTTTCTTTCTGTGATTACAATTCAGTAATCGAAATGTGCACACGGATTGTATTGTCGATTGATTTCATTTATCTTTTCTTTCACTTTTTTCCACGATTGCTTTATTTCTTCCTCAACTCGATTAAAAAACAAAAACAACAAAGATCAAACAAAAAAAAGTAATATAAAAATTATATTACGAACGCAAAATAAAATAAATAAAAAAAAAACCAAACGCAAATTCGTAGACAAATTTTTGACAGGTGTGTGTGTGTGTGTTTGTGTATTCCATTACGTTTAATCATCTCGCACGTTATCTGAATTATCTCAATCGTTTGTCTGTCCCATGCGTGCAGAAAACTTAACTCTCATTTCTCTCGTCGAAAATATTATTTGATTTCTTTTATTGAAAAAAAAAAAACAAACACGAAAATAAATAAAATCGCATGGTTTCTTTTAAAAATTAAAACGGGAATAAAATTAAAAATTAAGAAAAACAAACAAACAAACAAATACAGACACCTGACAGAACAACACGCATACTCATTTTCACGCAAAGTAAATAGTATCATAAAAAAAAGTAACGCATATTTTTTTCGTAATATCTAAAAATGTTTTCTCGCAATTTAAAACCCCTTCTTACCCTTTCTTACACGACCCTTTTCAAATGGCATGTCGTCACCTGTTACGAGCCCCATTTTTTTTAATCATGCGATCTCAAACGGTATCTTCCTAAATCTTCGTCCACGAAGATCGAAGATCCTAATCTCGCGTATTAGTTTTCTTTTTTTATTATTATTATTATTATTATTATTATTCCCTCTCAAAGGAAGCACGAGACCCGTTTATTTCTTTTTTCGTTTGTTTTTTTAAATTTCATTTTTCCTCTCTTATTTCTCTTATATTTAATTATTATTATTATTATTATTATTATTGTTATTAATATTAATATTAATATTCCTCGGATCTTATATATGTACAAGATTTTTAATTCCTTTATTATTTTGTTCACACGGTTGTTCCTTTTTATTATTATTATTTTTATTTTTCTTTATTTTTATGAATTTTTCTTTTAATTCCTCTCATTTATTCCGTTTGCAATAGTAGTAGTAGTAATAGTAATAGTAATAGTAGTTTGTTCGTTCGTTCGTTCGTTCGTTTCTTGTTGATTTTTTTCTTCGTTTTATTTTTAAGGAAAAAAAAAAAACGTAAAAAAAAAAAAACGCTCTCTCGCCCAAGTACGTGTGTGTAATTTTCTCTCTCTCTCTCTCTCTCTCTCTTGTTTTTTCTTTTTCTTCCTTTGCGATGAAACGTTCAAAATTCCATAGCTTCCATTTTAAAAGCTCTACCCTGAAGCTTATTGGGAACCATTTTGGATATAGGCGGTGCACTATTGTTGTCGTCGTCGCTGTTAATATCCTCGTCTTCTTCGGGAAAATCTTCTAATCTATCGTGATACTCGTCCAACTGTAAAATAATAAAAAGAAAAAAATAATATAAAAGAAAATAATACGAATATATTCATTCATTATTATATGACTTTTTTTTTCCTTTTTTTTGTTCGTATCAAAAGCAAGAACACACTCTGGGGCTAATAGCCAAAGCTCGAAATTGATTGAACGAGTGTGTAGGTTCATATATGTAATATAATGTAATCTATGTGTGTGTGTGTGTATTAACTCGCAAGCTCCCTTTACAAATTGAAACATTATCTCAACTATTCGCGATTGAGTTAGTTCCGTTCTCTTTCGTATACACACTTGGCTATACAAATTTTTCTCGTACACATTTGTTTTGTCTTCTTATTAATTGTTAATTTATTTATTTCTTTTTTTTCTTTTTTTAATGCGTCTCTCTTAATTATTTCGTTTTCTTTTTCTCTTTTGGAAAATATTTTGTAAGTTTCTTGATATTGTTCTTTTTTTTTTTTATATCATTATATAATATCTATCGGTGTGTGCGTAAGTGTGTTATCTTAAATAAACAACTAATTGTTTATTTATTAACGCTATGATTTGTTTTTCTATTTTTTTTTTTGTTTTTTTAACAAAAAAAGAACAATACCATATGTGGGCTGGCACACACACATTTCATGTGTATTATATAAAAATATATCCGTGCAAAAAATTCGCAATCTTAATATTTTTCAACTAATACTAATTTAAAACTAGAAAGGGCTGGGGGGGTGGGGTGGGACGAGAATTAAATTAATTTTATCATACGCGGAGTTTGTGTATTTGTCGTATAATATTTTTTTTTTTGTTTTCAAACGTATTTTCAAACGAAAGTTTAATCTCATTATTATTTTTAGATTAATAATAATAATAATATAATAATAAAAAAAAAAAAGATAAAAATAAAAATAAGAAGGTATCTATCAAGTGCATTCCAGAAAAAATTCATCTACGACGGACTCACATGTGATGCAGCTACGGGGGGAGATATCGATTTAGCCGACCACAGAGACATAGAGGAAGCTTACCTATAACTGCAGATCATACCGAACGGTTCAGCTTGAACACATCGAACACTTTTTCGAATCATTCACCACGAGAAATTGTATTATTTTTCAATAATATAATTCAAAATGAAAAATCTTCATTTTCATCTCAATGATTTAATCTCTCTCGTGGTGTACAAAACGAATATATATTCGTGTAGATATCATTATTTTGACTGATAAAACAAACACACACACACACACATATACGCACACTTACACACACGACGTACAATGATCTTGCAAGGGGAGGAGAACAAAAAAAATGATCGCATTTCAAAGCTTTGAAACAAACTTTAGCGTAGCAAAACGAACATAACCTGAAAAATAATTTGAATTTTCCCGCGCATCGCGTAAATATCGACAACTTCGTGGTGTCGAATTTTTCGATCGCATCTAACTTCACTTTCTAAAACGCGCCAAAAAGAGATATAACTTCGAAAAATGAAAATGAAATACAAAAAAAAGAAAATTTGTCTCGAGCACTTGGTAAAGAAAATAAAAATTAAAAAGTAATACGTGTGTTGTAATGCATGACCCTTTTTTTTTTCTCTCTCGTGTTGATTTTGTTATAGTCAACGATCGTAAAGATCATCTTATGTTAGTTCACTCTCGAGTGAAGCGCCATTGTATCAATTGTCACGAATTGCATCCAGTATGTGAATATAAACGATTATTTGATCGAAAGGGGTTCTCGGTTCCCCTATTCTTCTCTGCACGGTTACTCACAGTTAAATACTAATACACGCGTGTGCCACGCTTGTCAAACTTTAATACGTAAGAAGATAATACACATTCTAAATTATAATAATTCTATTTTAGATTCTTTTTTTTTTTAATTCAATTTTTGTTTGATTTCAACAAATATTTCATTTTTCTTTTTAATATTACATCTTTTCGTCTCTGTCTTCGAATTATAAAAAATAAATAAATAAATAATATTATTTATATATTACACACGATTGATATATAAAGAAAAAAAAGAACATAATATTAATTTTGTTTAACTTTTAAAATTGTGTTGCAATATATGATATATTAATTTTTGTATAAACATTATATGAATATACATGTTTTATATTAAATCATTAAAAAATTGTACAAAATATATTAACATAATTTAATTAGATTTTATAATTACGTATTCATTATTATTATTGTTAAAATATTGTAATGAAAATTTCTAAGATCTAATTTCTATATGATCATCAATTTATTTAAATAAAATCAATTGAAACCTTTACCATCCATGAAAGTTCATAGTCAAGGCTAGTATATGTTGAACTTATTGTGTCATTGAACTTGATTACGTTAGCCAATTGACGTGTTCAGATCGTACATACTTTATGAACAGTTTGACCATCGTTATTATTGTGGTTCACGTCTACCATTTTTTATTAAATTTTTAACACTACGAGTTAACCAATTAAATTCGTTATTCTTTTTTCTTTATATTAATCGTATAAACGGTTTAACACGTTGATAATTTATTTAATTTAACTTTATAATATCTCAACGAAAACTATCATCATAATTTATTATTCGAGTTTATACAAACAAATTGTTTCTACATTTTCATATATTGCTTTTATGTTCGTCAAAAACTTTTCGACAATAATGGTCACATGAAATTTATTTTTGCACGCGCTAGTTTATAAATCAATTCGTGTTTGTTTCTATTTATTTCTAAATATAGATTAAAAAAGAAAAAAAGAAATACCAGTGCATTAAAGTTTTATACGACGTAAGAATATTTCAAGCAGGATTCGCGTTATCGATTAAACATAAGATAGGAAAGTATAATATATATATATATATATATATATATATATATATACGTCTTGTACGATATCATTTGACCTTTTTCGTATTTCATATATAATTTATAACTTCAAAATATGATCAATATTATTCTCCTTATATTTTTTTCTTGTTTCTTATTTTCTTTTTTGACTTGTTTGATGATTGTATAAACGTTGAAAATGATCAATGTATAATAATAATAATAATAATTGAGAAACATAATTAAATGAGAGACAAAAGCAACATAAATTGTTTTTGATTCTCTTTTCACACTTACAAATAAATAATAATAATAATAATTATATATATTAAAATAATATATATATAAAAAAACACACTTACATCAACGTCACCCATCATTTCTTTAGTTGATACAGTAGTGTCGATACGACGAATGCTACCCTGATGAATATCCACGTCGAGTTTCACACATTGGAATACTCTAAGTAGAAAAACTATTGGTATTGGTGCAATACCAGCAAAAATGATGCAAGCTGCTATTGCTAGAACCCAGCCTGGATAAGGCATTGATACTGTTACACCCTATAAATTAAAATATAATAGAATTCATTTATTATTTTTGTTTTTTTTCAATTTTTTTAATACAAATTTACGTAATGTCAAATGATTAATTGTTTATAATTTGTAAATTATATTGCAATTATTATTATTTCATTAGAAATAATGAATATTCGTTGAAAAAAAAACTAAGAAGGTTAATCTGTTTATAAATAATACTACAATAAGATAAAAATTTGTTAATATACTTACCTGTGTCGCATTCCATGCTGAATATTCTGGTTTCTTGATAAACATAGAAGCAATACTAGATATTAGTATGCAAACCATGATTATAGGAGCAAGAAATCTCCATGTTACTTGCCAATAAATACCTGGCTTGTAGCCTGTCATTTCTTCAATGTCTTTCGTGAATCTAATTAAACAATTATATAGAAACGTATTTTAGATATAATTATAATTTATATAAATTTATATACATATCGATTAAAAATAATTTCTATATATATATATAAGAATATCTTACTTTTCGTGACCATAGACAAAGATTACGGAAATCATTTCCATAAGTGCAACCATAACTAATCCAATGGTACCAGCAAAACTGTCAAACATTTTCAACCAATATTCACCTGCACCGGTACAGAATATAAGCCCAACGAAGAAACACACGATACAGACTACACCTAAATTGAAATAATATATAAATGAAAACGTTATAATAATAATAATAATAATTAGAGATCTCTCAGAAAACTACAGAACAATAATTTTCTATTCTTCGTTTTGAATATAATTTGAATATTAATTATTGTTTACCTGTTATATATTGTTTCTTTATTCTCTTGAAAAGATCAATGTCAAATATTACGCATAACATTCCTTCCATTATACCAATTTGTGAACCAAGTCCAAGAGCCAATAACATTAGGAAGAATATGCAAGACCAAAATGGTGCACCTGGAAGCTCGACGATAGCTTGCGTGAAAATGATAAATGCCAAACCTGTACCTTCGGCAGCCTAAACACAGAAAAAAATAATCACATCCTTTAGATTATAATTTATTGTATATTGATTTTGATTTGTTTAACCTTAGAACTACAAACTTAGGGTATATATATTTACCCCAAGTGTTTTGTTAATCCTAAAAATTATTCTGATAGCAATAATCAAACTTTTAAGTATATGAATTTTTTTGTTTTTTGTTTTTTTCCCATGCCAAATAGAATGGTGAAGAGTAAATTGAATTTTAGTAAAAAGTTTACTCGATGAAAAATCGAATTTAATAAATGAAAGTATCGAAAAACGATCAAATCTTCATTTAATTTAAGTTTACCTGGGATTATAAGATATCTGCCCAAGTTTTTAGTAGAGTTCTAGGATTAATATTTTATACATTTATTTTTTTTCAATATTTTCGAGTAAGAATTTTTTTCTTTTCTTTTTTTTTAAATCAGCCAATAGGAATAACATTACGGTTAATTAATAAAATACGATTTTAACAGGGAAAAAGTTTTAGTAGATTTTATAATTTAGGAAAGAAAACAAAATCTTATTTTAAGTTTACACAAGGTGTAGTAGAATTTTCTGGTTAACCAATTACCATCACCACTACCAACACCATTACAAACTCGATACATATACTCCGGTAGAGAAAATCGATCGTAAAATATAAATTTAGAAATAATCGATTGGTAACTTCGTTCAACTCACGTTATTAAGTTGTTCGCTCAAACTGCATCTATCCAAGGTCAAATTAGTGGTCGAACTGTTGAACGTATTAACAATGTTTTCGTAATCCTCCATCGTTGAATTTTCAAAGAGAAAACCATACTTGATAAGAGATACCTTATTGCTGTAAGCAACAAAAATAATGGAACATTTTATTTTTTCACAAAACTTTCAACAATCCTCGATTTGCCTGCTTAAACAATTCGTCCTGGAATTTTTTTCCTTTTTTTTTTTGAACGAGACGAAAAAATAAAAATAATAAAAAAAAAAAAACGAACGAATTACGTTCCCAAAAGGGTAGTATTCTCTTTTTGCAAAATTATTTTTATTAATTATTTCTTTTTTTCTTTTTCTTTTTAACACAAGTGCAACATTTGATCTCTTTTAATTTAAAAACAAATTGTTTTTTTCTTTTTTTTTTCTTTTTTTTGTTATTAAAATT